CATCTTCCACAAGAGTGTACATAAAAGCCCAGGGAAAAAGGATGGTCTCTTCAACAAATGATGTTGCTAAAATTGAATAGTATCCTACAGAAAGAAGAAGAAAGATACCTGCACTTTTACCTTTAAAAGGATCAAATCTAAATAGATAAAGGGCTTAAGTCTATTTCCAGAAACCATAAAATATTGAAAGATAAAGGCATAGGCAGACTTCCTAGAAAAGTCATCAAGTTAAAAGAATTTGCCTCTTCCAAACCTGCCCTACAAATGATCCTTCAAGATGTTCTCTTGACAAAGAAAAGGAATAGCACCTACCAAAACCAAAGGCAAATGGGAAGAACATCCCAGTAAAATGACAACAGAAGACTACATCAATGAAGTACCCATTTTAAAATGACAGGACCAAAGTACCACCCATACATATTAACCCTGAATGTAAATGGCTTAAGCTCAATCAAATGTCATAGATTAGTAGACTGGAATAAAAAAACAAAACCCATCTATTTCTTGTCTAGAAGAAATACATTTCACCAACACACACACAAAAATAAGCGGAAACTATATCGCATGGATTTTGATGTTTTCTATTAGTTTCATCTCTTCAATGCTACAAGCTGTTAAATATAAAATGAAAACAGGCCGAGACAGCTGAAACAGTACCCTATAACCAGTTTACAGTGTATAGCACCCAGATGTGTATAAACTAAAAATTAAAATGTCAGTGAAGTAGTCACAAGATGTGGTTAAGAACTTGCATCTTCTAACATATTGGTCACTCAAAACCATATCAATTAACCCCTTTATGATGTAAATAGTTGTTAACGCCATGTTTTGCTTTTTCATTGGATGGGATAATACTCTGCCAGCTCTGCTTTCAAACCAGAGATACTCACCCCAAGAATCTGCTGAATCTATCTCGACAATAAGAGGCTGGACTCTGCATAGCACATGCTTGCAATGGAAGAATCATAACTTCATTTGAACTGTAACACTGCAACAAGGTGGAGGATTCCACCATAGGGGGAGGGCAGGGGGAGGGGTTGGGGGAACCCCAGAGCCTATGAAACTGTGTCAGAAAAGGAAAAACAAACATCTCAGGGAAACAACATAGAGCCTAGAAATAAAAATACTTTCCCTTTGCCCTTATCCTTCTCAGAAAGAGTGGTAATTTGTCAAGGGGGTATAACTGTAAGCCAACCTATCTACATTATAACTGAATGCAGGCTGCATTTACTCAGCTTCCCTCTGTTCAGGGTTGGCTGAATTTCTAGAGTAAGGAAGATATCTGCAATGCAAAAGCAGAGTGCCAAAGTCAAGAAAATGTATTACAAAATAACATACCCAGTGTCATCTGACAAGTTCACTCACAGACCTTTATCCTCCACAGTCTCAGAAGTACAAGCATTAGACTCCACAATTGGATCTATCAGCCACCTCTTCATTATGACTTCACTAAGGTGAAGCTTTAACCTGATTAGAACAGCTCCATCTTTAATCCCCTCTATGAATGCAACAACTCCCAATTTTAAAGGGAGGTGATGTTTATCTTCTTTGCAAACACATCCACATCTGCATGAATTCTGTCAGTTTCTTGAATCCATTCTTGAGGACTTAGCATTCTTGTGGACTTTGATCCAATCTGGAGCAATTATACATCACAGCTGTGGGAGACACGTGCTGCTCAGTCTTAAATGAATGCTGCTTGTCCAAGGTGCTGACTTCTGTGGAACCGGACATGGTAGGTGTTCACTGTCAAGTTCACAGAAAATAGCTGCTGCTCTGTTCATGTCCTGGAATCAGGACATTAGTGCACAGTGGGCGTGAATACTCTTATTATCTGCTCACACTGGGTGGTGGTGGGTCACTTCCTTCTGATGACCATTGATTGCTACACACTGGTACCTTGAGTAATTTGAACAAGGTGGATAGCAAGGCTTCTCTAATGAGAACCCTTGATAATTAAAACCTGCTGCTGTGTGATGGGTCATGTCTTTGTCATCTTCTCTTTGTTTGGGGAGTAGCAATGATTGAACAAAATTCTCTGTATTCTTTCCATTGTGTGATGCGGTTCATGGGGAGGCAGTGGTCACAGAGGCTTTCTCCTGCTTCAGTCTTCAGTATTTACATCTGGTCCACTTTCTCATAGGATGATGTGATTCTTTCAGGAGATGCATTCCTTTCTCAAGAGCCCCCAGTTTACAAATCCTGCTGGTGACCCTGTGAACCTGGACCAGAAAAGAAAGCTGGCTGCAGCATATGACATTCTGAATTTCTGGAATTTTCCCCCAAGGACTTGGCCATACTGTGAAAGTGGGACATTTCTCCCCCTATGATCCACCAGGCCAACAGTTGTCTCTCTCTGAGGAGCTGATAGAGTGGGCCACTGGGATCACACAGGTGAGTTCATCATGCGGCTCCATCTGCAAACTGACAGCATCAGGATGCAGTGCTGTGCCCCATGGCCTCAGAATTACGTTTTGCAGCCTAAACCACTCCCTCTTCCACTTCAGTGTTTTTGCATGTTCTCATTCTCTCAAGATCAAGAAAGTATACACAACTGTTCCCTGTGTGTTTTGAATCTATTTCCCTGCCTCTAGGCATACAGAATATGGCATACACATAATGTAATGGAAATCTGGTATTTACAAATGAAATTTCCTCATCTCCCAAACTCTAACATGTCTCCTGGGAAGTGGGTTTCCTGTGGCCATCGGTTCGGGAGGACCACTCGGGAGGGAGAGCCCACCTGCTGTTTTGGCTGCACCCTCTGTCCAGACAATGAGATTGCTAATGAGACTGCTAAGTGCACACCCTCCTCACAGAGAAATTCCACAACTCTCTTTGCTGTTCTTTCGGTTCCTTCAAATAATTATCAATATGCAGCATTGAACTTGGGAGAGAATTCTGCCTACCTTAGGAGGTAATTACTTTTCACAATTAGGATTTATCCTTCTATTAAGGAGCTCTCCTGGTTACAGTGTGTTTCATGTGTTATCAGGAACACAAACAGGAGACTGAATGGACAGGAAGGATGGTGCAGGTGACATACAGGCTGAAATGTGACATAAAACATGAACAGAACAGCATGTATGAAAGGGGAAGACAGACCACTAAGATGCACTAAGTGTACATAGTAATATACATCAGTGATAACACACTCAGCAAAGACCCTAGAGAGGATGTGAACCAGAAGGAAAATCTGAGACAGAGTCTAATGAGTAGAGTCAGCTGGATTCTTGTACAAAATTAGTAACCACAGAGATGATGTATCCGGAGGAAGTCTCTCCTCCCTTTGTGGACACAGATGCACACTCTGAGCATGGACACATCATCCTCTTGTGCAATGAGGGCTCCATCACTTCCTTCTTCTGTGTTCTGGGGTTCCTGGGATTGTTGGCCCTGGGGACCTTCACTGTGGCTTTCCTTGCCAGGAAGCTGCCTGACACGTTCAATGAAGCCAAGTTCCTGACCTTCAGCATGCTGGTGTTCTGCAGTGTGTGGGTGACCTTCCTGCCTGTGTACCACAGCACCAAGGGGAAGGTCATGGTGGCAGTGGAGGTCTTCTCCATCTTGATCTCCAGTGTAGGTCTGCTGGCCTGTATCTTTGCCCCCAAGTGCTACATCATTCTCTCAAGGCCTGAAAAGAACTTTCTGAAAGCATTCAGGAATACTCCTTCTAAGAGCAGCTCGTAAGGCTATCTCACAATTTGGAATCATAAAACAAAGCTGACACTACTCTGCCTCTGCTTTCTGATGTTATAGACTGAGATGACTCAAGCTCATTTGCAATCATATCTGTTTCTCTTTTACAAAGTAGTTCTGGGCACCGGTTCTATTCCTGCCAGCCCCACTTTCCACCCAGCTCCCTGGTTTTTGCCTGGGAGAGCAGTCAAGGATGACTCAAAGCCTTGGGACCCTACACCTGTGTGGGAGAACCAGAAGAGTCTCCAGACTCCTGGCTTCGGATTGGCTAGCTCCAGGCATTGGGGTCTCTTGTGGAGTGAACCAATGGATGTAAAATCTTGCTCTCTGTCTCTCCTCTCTATTTCTGCCTTTCCAGTTAAAATTTAAAAATCTTAAAAAAAAAAAAAAACATAGTTCAGTGTCACAGTGTTCTTAGGTGACTATTCAGAGATAGAATCACTTCAGGCTAAGGAAATTCTCAAGCATTTTAATTTCCATTGATTTCCTAATTCCTAACTGAAAAAACACTCATGTTTTGTCTTAATGTAACATATGAGCTCTCGTATTTTTCTGTTCACCTCCATTGGAATTTTATATTAAGGAGTAAATTTTACATTCACTGTAGGTTTTCTGGGTGTAATATTTTGTCATTATACTTCTCACATGTATAATATATTATTGATAAAATTCTTAAGCATAAATGTTATTATCAGAGAATATGATTGCTCTTATGTAATATGAATTTTCATTACAAATATATGCAGTTTTAAGATTATGGACTCTTGCATCTCTTCATTCTGATTATTTATCTTAGCTTTAGGATTTCTTTTGTTTTCTTATCCCTTAAACTCTATTCTTTTTTTTTTTTAAGGTTTTAAGAAAAAGCAATGTATGTGAATGCTGTGTAATTGAGAAAGAGAGCTAAATAGCTTTGCTGTATTTGGTTCTCAAATTCTGGGTTTTTTTTTTCACATTTTATTATTATTGCACTCATTTTATGATACAGTTCAATATTCCCTTATGCCCTCCCCAATTCCCTCTCTCCCCCTCCCCCAGTTCCTCCATATCATCACTAACACATAGCTCTTCATACTCAGTCATATGTTCATCATTGCGGGCATGGACAATGGCAGAGAGTCCAAAATCCTATTGTCAAAATATAATAAACAGTTTCACTGTAAGTCCATCTTTGTCAACAGAAATGCATACCTCACTGCATCCTCACATCTGGTTATTAGTCTCCATTACATAACTACTATACATTCCTTAAATGAAAAGTCATGATACAAAATCAAGAATAGAAAGAGGGGAGAGCGAAGATGGCCGACGTAGGAGGAAGGCTGTGAGGGAGCGTCTAGTGAGAGAGGGATAGAACGCTACAGAAGCAGCAAAGAGGAACAGCAGGGAACCGCAGGGAGAGGTCCGTGAAGCTCCCTGGGACAGTGTGGAGCCAAAAAGATCCACACAACTCGGAAGAACAACGAGAACGGAGCAGGGCAAAGTCAGAGAAACCGACATCCCACTCTAGACCTGCTGAGTCACTTTTGAAAACGGCCTGACGGGAGACGCGGCCAGCTCGGAGGCAGGGAGATCAGGGGGATCGTCGCTGGCGGGAGGCCTTCGGCAGCGGTGGAGGCAGACTGCAGCAGCCGGACGTTTGGTGAGCTCGGGGTTGACGTGGCAGCCTCCGCATTTCTCGCCCCCTGCTGAGATTCCAGCCTCTGAGAAGGCGGAGCAGGCGGCCGAAACTGTTGGGTCTGTGTGGAACTACGCACAGTGGTGTTGTGTTGGTGGCTGAGGGGGGCCGCGGGAAGGCGCCTCGGAAGTTCCTGCGCTGAGGGGACCAGTGCGGCTCGGTGCGCAGAGGCAGCTGGCGAGGGTCTGGAGTCCCCCACATCCTGCCTGGTGAGTGCACGAAACCACCGAGCGCACTGGTGAGTGCGCGCCGCACCGAGCGGGCTGGGCGCCCCGCCTGCAGCAGCAGCACCTCCGCAGCGCAGGTGTCAGGTGTCAGGAGAGCTCAGATTTGGGAAGTGTAGCGCTGCGTGTCCCTGACACGCAGGTACCACTCCCATAGAGTGAACTGCTCACTTCTCGCCTCCCACCCTGCAGTTCTGAGCGTGGGCGACCCACCAGGAGAGCCCTGAAAACTCCTGCACCAAACTGACACAGTGCGAACCTGCTGTGAAGTCATTATAACAGGGCGCCTGGGCCACTCCTCCGCTAAGGGCCTGTGTGGGGGAGCCACACGGGAGCAGGGGCTCTGAACACCCACACACCACGAGTGGTGGATTCACTGCACAAGAGCCACGCCTGGAAAGTGCCTCACCCACAGTCCCGTGTGTGGGAGACGCACCAGGTGGGCCCTGAAAAACCCTGCAGTCCCTGACACGGAGAACACAGGGAGAAAGCACATAAAACCTTCTACGCCCTGCGGATTCCCGTGAAGGGGGCACACCCAGAGAGCGCCTCCATCCCTCCACGCCCTGGGGTGTCACACCTGTAGAAGAGGTGCCCAGAGTGTGCCTGGAATCCACTGGGCCCCCAAGGTGGAGCTCTACAGCCCCGGGCCCTGAGAACGCACCAACGGTGCCTTGAAAATAACCACGCCCGGCAACACCACGCCTGCAGGCTCCAATCTCTACAGGAAAGCACCTGACAGCCCCTCAACACACGGGTCCATTTGCCTCACCAGAATACACCAACGCAATGGGAAAAACCACCAGAAAGAGTTGTGCTCCAGATGAAAGAGCCAGCACCCCACCAAACAAGGGCCAAAAGCCATTATCAATATCGACGATACGAGATGAAGACATGGAAGTGTTACCAGCAAAGGAATTGATGAAAATAATGCTAAAATTTCTCAGAGACGTGGACACAAAGCTGGAAGACTACCAGAACCGCATAATCACCGAAATACAACAAATCAAAACCAAACTGGACGCCCAAGATAATAAGATTGAAAGCCTCATCAACAGAATAAATGCGGCAGAGGAAAGGATCTCTGAAACAGAAGACACACAAAATGAAAGTGCCCAGCGAATCAAACAGCTGGAGACAAACCTCAGCAAAACTAATAAAATGATGCAAGAGATGAAGGATTACCTTAGAAAATTGAATATTCGGATCATCGGCCTCCCCGAGGGAGTAGAAAGAGAATCTGGGATGCAAGCAGTGCTCGATGAAATTATACAGGAAAACTTCCAAAACACTTGGAACACGAATCCACCCCGCATACAGGATGGACAGAGAACTCCCAACAGACATGATCCAAAGAGATCTTCACCCAGACACACGGTGCTCAAGTTCTACTCCAATGAAGACAAAGAAGGAATCCTGAGACAAGTACGAAGTAGAGAAAAGATCACATACAGGGGAAAACCCATCAGAATCACTGCTGACTTCTCCGAAGAGACCCTACAAGCAAGGAGAGAATGGACAAAGATCTTCCAAGTCCTGAAACAAAACAACTGTCAACCAAAAATAATCTACCCAGCAAAGATCTCATTTGTATATGAGAACGAAATCAGATACTTCAATAGCAAAGAAAAACTAGAAGAATATGTCTACACAAAACCAGCTCTGCAAAGTCTCCTTAGAAATGCGCTAGTCCCGGACAAAAAGGAGGCAAATCACAAACAAAGTTGGCAAATAAGAAGGTCTCCAAACTAAAGGCCGCACAAACAAGACAATTACATAGGCAACAACACACACACAACACAATCACATGGCAGGGCAAAATTGCAAACTCTCAATTTTAACTCTCAACACAAATGGTCTAAATTCACCAATCAAACGACAGAGATTAATAGAATGGATCATCAAACAAGACCCAACCATCTGTTGCCTACAAGAAACGCATCTAACCAGAAAGGATGCAAAGAAACTGAAAGTGAAGGGATGGAAAAAGATATTCCACGCCAATAGACGAGAAAAAAAAGCTGGGGTAGCTATCCTAATTTCAGACGAGATAGATTTCATTCTAACTAACATCAAAAGAGACAGGGAAGGCCATTTTATACTGGTGAAAGGAATGATCCATCAAGAAGCAATCACCATCATTAATGTTTATGCACCGAATCTTAATGCACCTACTTACGTAAAGCAATTACTTACAGACTTAAGGGAAGACATAGACACCCGCACAATTCTTGTAGGCGATCTCAACACACCTCTAACAACAATGGACCGGTCTACGAAACAAAAACTCAACAAAGAAACAACAGAGCTCACACAAACAATAGAACAACTGGACTTAGTAGACATATATAGAACTTTTTATCCTAAGGCCACAGACTATACATTCTTCTCAGCGGTGCATGGCACCTTCTCCAGAATCGACCACATGATAGGACATAAAGCGAATCTAAACAACTTCCAAAACATTAGTATCATACCATGTACCCTCTCAGACCACCATGGGATGAAACTGGTAATCAACAACTCAAAACTCCCCAGGAAGTATAGGCACTCTTGGAAATTGAACAATATGCTATTAAACGAACAATGGGTCAGAGAAGAAATTAAAGATGAGATCAAAAAATTCATGGAAACCAATGAAAACTCTGATACAACATTCCAAAACTTGTGGGACACCGCCAAAGCAGTGCTACGAGGTAGATTCATCGCAATCGGAGCGCATGTCAAGGCCCAAGAAAGACGCCAAATACAGGAACTAACCTCACACCTCCAGGATCTGGAAAAACAGCAGCAGAAGAGTCCCACGCACAATAGGAAACAAGAAATCATCAAAACAAGGGAGGAGATAAACCAAATAGAAATCAAAAAAACTATACATAAAATCAACAAATCAAAAAGTTGGTTTTTTGAGAAAATAAACAAAATAGACACTCCACTGGCCCGATTGACCAAAAAAAAAACAAGAGAAAGTGAGAATCAACAGCATTAAAGATGAAAAAGGCAACATAACAACAGACACTGCAATCATTAAGAAAATAATTAGAAATTACTACAAAGAACTGTACTCCCACAAATTTGAGGACCACCAAGAAATAGAAAAGTTCTTGGACTCCCACCATTTACCAAAACTCAGTCCGGAGGCAACTGCAGAATTAAATAAACCCATAACCGAGGTAGAGATTGAAACAGTCATCAAGGATCTCCCAACGAAAAAAAGCCCAGGCCCAGACGGCTTCACTACAGAATTCTACAAAACATTCCGAACAGAACTAACCCCAATCCTCTACAAGCTCTTCAAAACAATAGAGGAGGAAGCAACCCTCCCAAACTCATTCTATGAAGCCAACATCACCTTAATCCCAAAACCGGATAGAGAACCATCAGAGAAGGAAAACTACAGACCTATTTCTCTGATGAACATTGATGCTAAAATTCTCAACAAAATCCTAGCCAATAGAATTCAAAAAATCATCAGACAGATCATTCATCCGGATCAAGTAGGATTCATCCCTGGAATGCAGGGATGGTTCAACATTCGGAAATCCATAAATGTTATAAACCATATCCAAAAACTGCAAAACAAGAACCACATAATAGTTTCAATAGATGCAGAAAAAGCTTTCGACAAAATCCAACACCTCTTCATGCTAAAAACTCTAGCCAAAGTAGGCATAGATGGGAAAATCCACAACATAATTAAAGCAATTTATGAAAAACCCAACGCCAGTATCATACTGAATGGAGAAAAGCTAGAACCCTTCCCACTGAGATCTGGAACAAGACAAGGGTGCCCACTATCACCACTGCTATTCAACATAGTCCTAGAGGTACTTGCAGAGGCCATAAGACAAGAAAAAGAAATCAAAGGCATACGTATAGGAAACGAAGAAGTCAAGCTTTCACTATATGCAGATGACATAATCCTATACATAGAAAAACCAGGAGACTCAATACAGAAACTGCTAGAACTTATACGAGAGTTTGGCAGAGTGGCGGGGTACAAAATTAACGAACGAAAATCAACAGCCATAGTGTACGCAAATAACACCAAGATGGAAGAAGATCTAACCAACAGGATACCATTCAAAATAGCAGAGAGAAGTATGAAGTATTTGGGAATAAATCTAACCAAAAGTGTAGGAGACCTATTCGAAGAAAACTACAAACTATTTAAAAAGGAAATTGAACAAAACCTCAAAAGATGGAATAACATCCCGTGCTCCTGGATAGGCAAAATCAATATCATTAAAATGTCTATACTACCACAAGCAATATACATTTTCAACGCAATTCCAATCAAATTGCCCAAAACATTCTTCACGGAACTGGATACAATGATTCAACAGTTCATCTGGAAACACAAAAAACCACGAATAGCTAGAACCATCCTGAAAAATAAGAAATTAGC